TTTGCTATTCTCCCTTCTACCCTTCCTTAGAATTGCAAACTCTATGATTTCATGATCACTTTCACCCAAGCTGCCTTCTACTTTCAAATTCTCAACGAGTTCCTCCCTATTTGTTAAAATCAAGTCTAGAACAGCTTCCCCCCAGTAGCTTTTTCAACCTTCTGAAATAAAAAGTTGTCTGCAATGCAGTCCAAGAATTTGTTGGATAGTCTGTGCCCCGCTGTGTTATTTTCCCAACATATATCCGGATAGTTGAAGTCCCCCATCACCACCAAATCTTGGACTTTGGATGATTTTGTTAGTTGTTTAAAAAAAGCCTCATCCACCTCTTCCACCTGGTTAGGTGGCCTGTAGTAGACTCCTAGCATGACATCACCCTTGTTTTTTGCCCCTTTTAGCCTAACCCAGAGACTCTCAACACTTCCATCTCCTATGTCCATCTCTACCTCAGTCCAAGTGTGTACATTTTTAATATATAAGGCAACACCTCCTCCCTTTCTCCCCTGTCTATCCTTCCTGAGCAAGCTGTATCCATCCACACCAACATTCCAATCATGTGTATTATCCCACCAAGTTTCAGCGATGCCAACAATGTCATAGTTGTATTTATTTATTAGCACTTCCAGTTCTTCCTGCTTATTACCCATACTTCTCGCATTTGTATATAGGCATCTAAGATACTGGTTTGATCTTTCCTCCCAGTTTTGTCCTGACCCTCCTTTCTCTCTGCCAATATAGCCCACACTTCCTCTCGTTTCCGACCCATCTCCCGGGTCTCCATGTTCCCCACTTACCTGCGGGCTTTGCTCAAACCATAACTTTGGATTTCCTTTTTGTTTACACTTTATCATAACATATGTTGCATAAACTCTGGTTTTGTTGTACCAAGGTGACTGCAAAACACATTGTTCTCACCTACCAAAGCTCTTTGCCTAAAGAGAGGCTTGATTTGCTGCTTTTGCTATGTCTGAATGTAGATTTTTTTCTGAACAGAAAGTGACACTTTTTTGATTTCTGAACATATCTGAATGTTTTTGATGGATACCCTCTCTTCCTCCCCTCCATTCAACCCATATATATTTTGTTTAAAATATCGGCTTTTATTGTGCCATTCATTCGTTCGTCTTTTAGTTTTTAAATGGTAGAGTACAACCAAAAATATGTGAAAGCTTCTGGATATTTAAGACTATGCACATACTAATTTTGGGCAATTACTGTTTTAAAGGAAGAACATTTGGGTGCAGTAAAGTGCAGACTATCATTTTAAAACAAAATCTGAAGTTTACACCGATCACCTTGCTAGGCTTTTTTTTCTTTTTTCATTTTGTCTTTGGCACACGTTATTTTCCAGTAAAATGAAGAATGAAGATGGATTATTCAAAATTGATAACAGTAATGGACCATCATGTAATGTTTTATTGAATTTGAGTTCTGTAAATTATGTGGTGGAGGGAAATTTGCCTGCTTAAGTATAACCGAAATTGCCACTGTGTTCATATAATTCTTCATAGTGTAATTTAAGAAAAAGCACACTATCCATATCACTATTGAATAAAAGGTAAAAAGGTGCTATTACACTATCATGACAGCTCTCCTCTTGCTACTAAGCGACATAGATAAATGTGTCTGCTTATAACTTACTTGGCAGGAATCCAAATTTGTGGGTGGAGCTTGCAAATAATCTTCCACCTGGACATGTGATTTAAACACAATGTAATGGAGACAGATAGCACTCAAGGATATTCTACATATTTTTGGGAGGTTTCAGCAAATCGCATTTTTCTTCTGGGAGCTTTGAAGTTCCATAAGGCTGATAAAATCTATTTGAATCAGTGATTACGTTCAAAGAGGAGACGAACTGGGGGCCAGACAGGCAATGTTTTTGTTCATATTGGCAGACACTTTCATTTATCTCCCATTTTAAAGAATTCATAATTAGCTTTTGAAAGCACTGATAATATTTATTGAACATTTTTGTGCAATTACTAATGAATTATACTTGTGATGACTTGTAAACTTTTCTTTAAAATGAGGCTTGGTGGTGTCTTAAAATTCATCTCCACTAAAGGGGGGGAAATGGGACTTTCAGGCTGACAGATTGAAGCTGCACATGCAAAACTGCATTTAGTCTTCATGCAGCCTGAAGTATAATATCAGGAGAGCACACACTACAAATTATATCTTGGCAAATCACTTTAAATCTGGTTATAAGTGGATGGTAAATCTGTCAGTCTCAGTATTAGACAGGGTGCTAGGTTTGATGTACGGAATGCTCATTGGGATTTACCTGTTTATATTTGGTCATACAATTTTTAGCTGAATTTTAGTGCTCAGAAAAGTGAAGGACTAGCAGTACCAGCTAAAGCAACGTATTGCAGGCAGATACTGCTCTAGTACTTCCCAATTCTGTTAATGCACCTTGTGCAGTCACCTGTATTCATGTGTGTACTGGAACTTTCGCTCTCAATTCATTAGAACTCCTACTCATGTCAACTCAGTGTTTTCACAGCTTATGGTGAAGGCCAGGTATACATTAAAACTTTTGTGAATATAATAATGTTGATTTGGGGGTGTGGTTTTTTAATTACATTTCTAACCAACAAAAGCCCTAGAGTTTATACCAGCTTACAGTTTATTTCGTTCAAGGAACTGGTGTAAGTTATACCAGCAAAAGCATTCTTTTTTTGCCATTTTAAGCTGTCTGCATTGGGAGAGTGTGCTGATTATAGCTAGACCGAGAAACCTTTCCTAAATCTAAAACTTGCTGTTTTATAGACTCATAGACTTTAAGGTCAGAAGGGACCATTATGATCATCTAGTCTGACCTCCCACATGATGCAGGCCACAAAAGCTGACCCACCCACTCCTAGAATAATTCTCTCCCTTGACTCAGCTGTTGAAGTCCCCAAATCATGATTTAAAGACTTCAAGTCGCAGAGAATCCTCCAGCAAGCTACCCCTGCCCCATGCTGCGGAGGAAGGCGAAAAACCTCCAGGGCCTCTGCCAATCTACCTTGGAGGAAAATTCCTTCCCGACCCCAAATATGGCGATCAGCTGAACCCCGAGCATGCGGGCAAGATTCTCCAGCCAGACCCTCCGGAAAAAAGTTCTCTGTAGTAACTTTTAATATCCCATCATTGACCATTGTTACTAATTACCAGCGATGGCACGTTATTGACCCATTGACTAAAATCACGTTATCCCATCAAATCATCCCCTCCATAAACTTATCAAGCTTAATCTTAAAGCCAGAGAGGTCTTTCGCCCCCACTGTTTCCCTCGGAAGGCTGTTCCAGAACCTCACCCCTCTGATGGTTAGAAACCTTTGTCTAATTTCAAGCCTAAACTTCCCGACAGCCAGTTTATATCCATTTGTTCTCGTGTCCACATTAGTACTGAGCTGAAATAATTCCTCTCCCTTCCTGGTATTTATCCCTCTGATATATTTAAAGAGAGCAATCATATCCCCCCTCAGCCTTCTTTTGGTTAAGGTAAACAAACCGAGCTCCTCGAGTCTCCTTTCATACGACAGGTTTTCCATTCCTCGGATCATCCTAGTGGCCCTTCTCTGTACCCGTTCCAGTTTGTATTCATCCTTTTTAAACATGGGAGACCAGAACTGCACACAGTACTCCAAATGAGGTCTCACCAGTGCCTTGTATAACGGAACCAGCACCTCCTTGTCCCTACTATCCTATGTCATCCATATCTCTTCATTAGTTCATCTTCTCCAGTCAAATGACCCCTTGTTGATAGTGGTTGTCAGCAGTGGCTCTCTTCCTGCCCCCCGGCTAATTAACTGGTGTTATAAATGCATTGCTTTTTATCCTGTGTATACTCCTTTCAGCACTGCTACAAAAAGCACATATGAGATCATATTCCGGCACATCTCAAACACACTTTCTATAACTGTGCTGAAAATGGCTTTGTCTACCCTACAAATAGCAGTTAAACCTTTCTGAACAATTATTCGAAAATTAGAGGAACCCATTGCTAACTAGCATTCTTAGCACTGGGTCATATTTCTAGCATCCAGAGATCTAGTAAATACGTAGATAAGTATGATTATTGAAAATTATTGCCAAAAGTAAGTGTGTTTTGACTCTGAACATTTTTTAAAAAGACTAATTTCCAACCTTCCCCATAACACCTCTGCCTGTAACTCAACTATTCTATACTGGTTCACTTCTTGAGTAGAAACTACCAAATTGTGCACCGGATCATCACTACTTGCAAGAAAGCCCACAGAAGAGGTGGGGTAGGGATGAAGAAAATTCCATGAGGTTTGTCCTCCAAATTATTCCTTGGGGTTTCGGCTTTAGGTGTGGGTTTGCATTTGCCTCTTCCCCCCCTCCCCCCCCCCACCAGATAATTAAGGGTTTGGCTAATCCTTCTTGTGAATAATGGAGGATGCAAGCAAGGGTCAGGCAACTATAAAGGCGCACAGACATTCTCTGCACCAACCTCTGTTTCTACGCACCCTCTTTTCCCACCCCATCCCAAACCACGCATTTTGTCAGTGTAATTTTTCAAATATCACTTATTTTCAAAGTGCTGCTTGAGTTTCTAGAAATTTCTGCTTTCCATTACTACCGATTGAACTGATGCTTCTCTGCAGTCTTTGTCTACCCGGCATGAGAACTACACAATCTAGTGCTGCTGTTCTATGTGGATTTCATTTATTCTTAACTTCTTGCAATTGTCTGACTGTGAAAGATTTCATGGCAAGTTAAGCCAGTAAAAGGAAGTAGACCAATTAGGCAGATTCAGTTTATGTTGTATGTAAAGCAGATGCTTAATAAAATTAGGAATACAATTGAGGCTCTCTTCTCCACTACCTACATTGTCATTAATATATTCCTATGCGGTGTGAATGCCTTTGACTGTTCATGTTCTAAACATAGTGGAAAAGAAAAAGGAATGATTAGCAAAGGATTTGCAGAGCACGTTTTACAAAAGATTGCACAGCCTAACTCTTCAGCATTCTTTTTTGCTACAGGGCTTGCTCTCAGAAATCCTCCGAAAGGAAGAGGACCCCAAAACCGCCTCACAGTCTTTACTGGTAAACCTTCGGGCTATGCAGAACTTCTTGCAGCTGCCAGAAGCCGAACGAGATCGAATTTACCAGGACGAAAGGGAAAGGAGCTTGAATGCAGCCTCTGCTATGGGCCCAGCACCTCTAATAAGCACACCGCCTAGCCGTCCTCCACAAGTAAACCACTTTCTCAGTCTTTCAGATCTGCTCCTTGTGCCTTCTTAAGGTCCCACTGACAACCTCTATTTTAAAAAAAGAAAAAAGCTTTTCAATACAATTATGTTAAAATCCTAGTCAAATCATTAACTTCAGTGTACACCAAAAATTAAGTTTAGGAAAAATATAATAAACTCTATTATTTGTTAAAAATCTTTACTTCACATCACAGCAGAAATAGCATATTTTCCTCTAACTTTAAAATAATTTAATGTTAGTAATATATTCATAGCTAAAGAGTAACTTTTGTGGTACCAGTTATGAATCATGGATTTGATTTGGTCCATTTCTTTTGTAACTATTGGTCTGCATTAAATGTAACAGCTTAAATAGGTACTATGAAGATTTAGGGCCCAGTTCTGGTCTTACTGACTTCAGTGAGAGTTGGAGCAGGAGCAGACCCATGGTTCCTGTCCTACCACTGAGCAGATAGTATTGCCTCATTAAGAACCTGATCAGAGGTCCTTAATACAGAGATGGGTTCAAGTAGCTGAAAAATGGGGGGGAATTTCCTCAAAACATTCCTGAAATTTTCTCTTCACGTCAACATTTTTACATTTTTCCAATGATTTTTACCACTGTGAACCTTTATGTCCACATGGAGTCCCTTCAGTGACTCCCAGGTAGGCATAAGTGTCTTCCCCCATGAATCTTTTTGAAAGATTGGGGCCCTAGGGCAACATCCTTAAGTCTTTACTCAACCCTTAGTCAAATGAAACAGCTGCTCACTTCTCTGAAATCCAGTGGGACCACTTGCTCAAATAAGTATTCCTCGTGTGAGGATCTGTCAGACTGGGCAACGGAGACCTAATTTTGAATTTTCAGCAACTGTCAAACGGAATCAATGGTAGTTTTGGGGAGTACAGGATTGGGCCATAGGAATGCGCTGGTTTCTCTGGAAAAGAAAAACTGTCTTTGTGTTGAAATATTATTAAGAAATATTGCATGTATGCTGAAATGTTCTGTGTTGCTCTAGCTCAAAGTTGTACCACTGCTAGAATAGCCACACACACAAAAATGTGCACTACTATACAAATACCTGTGGGAAACATACGATGCATACACCAAAATAATTGTATTGAACAGGGCTTTGGGTCCTGGGAATTCTGTTTGAGTAGATGACTATTGAAGGGTAATAATACTGATCAGGATCATACACACACTGATTGCTATGTGCTGTACACATTTTGAATATAGTACACTTAATGAAGACTATTTTTGTAAAAACTTTTGCTAATGAATACTAAAAATCCTGATTAATAACATATTATTTGTAGAAAAGGATGGAGAGGAGGTAGCTTCTGATCTGCTGTAATGCATTGCATGAGAAAGGGAAATTTCTGTACCAGAACGGAACAGACTGTGCTAATGGTCTATTTTTGTTGTCATTAATGAAGTTTAGTCTGTGAAGGTCCCTATAGATACCATTAAAGATAAAGGATGAGGGTCACTATTTACGTAGTAATGTTTTAGTGGAAGAATAGTTAAATACAGATAACTGTTAAAATAACATCTGAGTTTGGTTTAATATCCCTGCCTGCCCCCCCAGAAGCCAAGTAATTCAGAGTTAAGGCAGGCTCTCCATTCTTAACTTATCCCCTTAAACCAAGGTCATGGGACACTATGTCTCCAGTGGTCTTGGACCATTTGGTGATCTAAGAAATCAGGTTAACTGCAATACTGACAGACAGAATGTTAAGTCAAAGAAAGGGTCAGCCTTAACTCTGAATTTGCTTTCTGATTTAAACTCACATAAGCAACCTAATGCATTCTAAAGAAGTTTTTTTTACATTTGTTTTTATCTTTCAAAAAGTTTATATATAATTCTGTGAAGACAACACGTACAATTAATCACCAAGTTATTCTTATAACCATATTCAGTATCTATCTATGCTGAGTAAGTTACTGAGTATACGAACATGTTATGTGTATCATTGATTCGCATTGAAAAAGTCGTTTTAAATCAGCCAGTTCAAAGTAGAAGTAGCACACTTTTTTTTTTCTTTTTTTTTTTTTTGACGGGTTGGATCACAGAAACCCCCTTGGGAGCTGCCACCCAATGTGCCAAGACTACCCCTGCTTCTGTTTTCCCTGCCAGCTCAGGACTCCAGCCCCCTGTCTTGCTGAGCGAGACACTTCAGTCTGACTCCAACACAGACCCAGGGTCTGAATCACATGTCCCAAAACTGCAAGTTTACCCAAAAACAGCTCACAGGAGTGTGCTTGTCTTTAG